ACGAAACTACAAATATATGTACATACATTTATGTACATGTATTTGTATGTTTATATATAATTTCTTTTATTTAATTTAGAAACACCAAAATTTTGATGTTTTTGCCAAAAAAATCTAATTATTTATTGATAAGATCAAATAAAATTACGTTCCAATAACGGGCAACAAACCCTACCGAGCATATATAAGTAAGAGCTGCCAAATAGATAGGGACAGTCATCTTAAAATATTTAGCCTAGTGAAACAATTTTAAACGTCAAGTAAGTTTTAAAGCAAAATAAAAAGGAAAATTTTTAAAAATATTAATCATTTTACAGTGATTCCCAAATTATGCTTTGTGTTAATAATACTCTGGCAATGTCATGCTATTTTGACCGCTCGCATGGTAGTCGAAGAAAATATTAATATATGTGAAAATGTAGCTGATCATATATTCCTACAAGATATCGATGATTGTCGTAAATATTTCGTGTGTATTGATGGCCAACCCAAAGCTCAAGAATGCAGATCGGGTCTGTATTTCGATGCAAGTCGTCAAGCTTGCATTGCCTCTCAGCATGTTTGCCTAAAATGTCCCTCTAGACAATTGTTAAATCTGCCGCTAGTTAAAACTTGTAACAAATATATTTCCTGCTATTATGGTCAAGCTACATTAAGGAAATGCGAAGCGAATCATCAATTTAATGTTAAAACGGGAAAATGTGATTGGGCCAAAAATGTAGACTGTGTTGAAAATCACTGTTCGATTCATCCAATTAACAGTGAATTGGTGTATGTTCGCAGTGCTGCCAGTTGTGAGAAGTATTATCTGTGTATGTCTGGTCAAGCTAAAGCCTTGACTTGTGCAGCTGGTTTATACTTTAGTACAAAGTGTAATTGTTGTGATAGATCGGATAATGTTCAATGTTTGGTGAGTTTTGTTTTTTAACTTAGAGAAACGTTTAAATTCTGAAATAGTATATATAGTTTATAGCTATATCACTATAGACTAGTCTATAGTCTGCACTATAGTCTGGACTACAGTGTAGTATATAGTCTATTCTACAGTCTGGAGTGTAGTCTAGTCTGTAGACTATTCTATAGTCTACAGTATAGTCTATTCTACAGTCTGGAGTGTTATTCTGGTCTAAAGTCCAATCTATAATCGAGTATACAGTCTAGTCTATGATCTTGATTATAGTCAAGAATATATCCTTTACAATAATCACTTACAGGTCGAAGACTATGAAACCGCGCCGGAAAAGAACAAAGAAAAGCGATTCTCTAATAACTATTCCAAATTACTGCATAAACCCACTTTGATAGGCGAAACCAATACCATCACTTGCCCTACCAAAGGCCTTTTTGTATATCAATATATTGAAGATTCCGAAAAATACATTACTTGTATTGAAGGCAAGGCTACCCTTTACTCTTGCGCTGCTGGCTATCAGTTCGATGACAAACAAAAGCGTTGTGTTAATAATAAGGACATTGAGCAATTGGATAATGATCACACAAATGGAACGGAGTTAATACAATGTCCTGAAAATGGTGCCGCAATTTTACCTCATAGTATAGAAAACAAATATATATTGTGTGTCAATGGTAATCCCACCGTTTATGATTGTCCCGATGACCATTATTTTGATGCAAAAGATAGTCATTGTCACAGCTCGTGGGAGTTGGAGCGCAAGAAGAAGCTCTCTAGATATGGAGCGGTGGTGGATGAAGTTGCTGCTATTGTTTGTCCTAAATATGCCACTTTCACTTTTCCTCATGTGGAAAAGGAAAAGTTCTACCTGTGTCTTGATGGCAAGGCTACAGTGTTTGCCTGTGCTGAGGGTCAATATTTTGATATCAACGAACATGGATGCGTTATGGAACCTATAGAAGGGGAGTTGAATACAGACGATGAATTGGCTGAAATAAAGGAAAATGATAATTTAATGGTTACAACAACTACAAAAAGATTAGCGGAGGCAGAGTTTGATTTGGATTTCAGTCCGCAATCGATAAAATGTCCTTCAACTGGCAATACCACTTTGCCGCATGTTTTAAGAAATCAATACTATGTGTGCCGAGAAGGAATTGCTGCTGTTTTCACCTGTCCCCATGGTCTATTGTATGATGCCAAATTGAAGACTTGTACCGAGTATTTCGCAAATAATGAGATATACAAACCCACCTTGGACACCGATGCAGCCAATATAATGTGTCCTAAATTTGGTACCTTCAAATTTCCACATTTGAATAAAACTTTATACTATCTATGCACTGATGGCAAGACCTATACATTGGCCTGTGGTCCAAATGAAATTTTCGATGCAGACATTAATATTTGCCGAGAAGACGAATTATTAGGAGATTTGCCCTCGGCCAATGAAAATGCTACACAAACTGTAACTGCAGTGGCCACTGAAATTGCCAGCAATGTTATATGCCCGAAATTTGGTACCTTTATTTACCCACATACCCAACGCAATCGTTATTATGTTTGTATTGATGGCAATGCTATTGGTTTTATCTGTGCTGAGGGACAATATTTTGATACCAAAACAAATGCCTGTCAGAGGGCGAGTGAAACAGAAGAAAATGAAGAGGATCAGAGACCCGTGGTTTTAGATGGACCAGTTAACATTTTGTGTCCTTCGGTAGGAGCCATGAAATTTGCCCATGAAGAAAAACATAAATTTTATTTGTGTGTTAATGGCATGGGCTCGGTTTTAGCCTGTGCCAAAGGCAGTTTCTTTGAGGCCGAATCGGGAGCTTGTCGCAGATCGTTTTCATTATTTAATAACATAAATGAAACTACTGAAGGAAATACTACTTTGGAATCGGTTAATGCTACAACAGTCAAGTGCCCCTTGTCGGGTACTTTTATTTATCCCCATGCTGAACTTAATCAATACTACGTTTGTCTTGAGGGCAAAGCATTAGTTTTGTCTTGCCCGGAAGGTCATATCTTTGATAATATGGAGAAAACTTGTCGAGCCCCGGGTCAAAGTGAAAAAGTTGAAATTAAAGCTCCTCAAGTTTTAGATGAAATTGTTAATATAATGTGTCCAGCCTCGGGAGCCCATAAATATGCACATATTGAGAAATATAAATTTTATTTGTGCATTAATGGCATGGGTTCTGTTATGGCCTGTCCAGATGACAGTATCTTCGATAATGAAACCGGCAGTTGTCTAAAAAGGCAAGCAACTATGCAGAACTCTAGTTTAGAAATAAATGATAAAAATAAAACTGATATTGAGAAGGTACTCCTTCTAAACAAGACATCCGAAACTTTAGAAACTTCTAACATTACCTGTCCCGAACTTGGCACATTCCTTTATCCGCACGAGGAGAAAAATAAATATTTTATTTGCCTGGACGGTACTGCTATAGAATTTACCTGTGCTAAAGGTTTACTCTTTGATTCCTCAAAAAATGTTTGCGTTCAAGACCCCGCAGTAGAAAACAAAGAAATTAAGTGTCCGGTCCAAGGAACTGATATGTTGCCCCATAAAGAATCAAACAAGTTTTACTTGTGCATCAACGGTATTGCCATAATACAAAGTTGTGCCGCAGGAGATTTCTTTGATGTCGAAACCAAGACTTGTCGAGAAACTTTAACAATACAATCAACATTACAGGAAACGGTTAATGCAAAATGTCCCTTAAAAGGAACCATAAAGCTGCCTTATCTGTCTGATTCCAATAAATTTTATTTATGCATAGAAGGCAAGGCAACAATTCACAGCTGTGCTAAGGGCGATTACTTTGATGCCGAAACTGAAACTTGTCATGAAACAATGAAAGCTTCGACACATGAAAGTAAAGCAAATCAATCTTTGCCGGAAGATATTGCTTTAACTGAACCGGTTAACAATGTATGTCCTCCACTAGGAACTGCCCTGCTAGCTCACATTGATAGTAATAAGTTTTATCAATGTGTTAATGGCGTTGCCACCCTACAAAGTTGTGCCAAGGGTGACTACTTTGATCTGGATACCCAAACTTGTAGAGAATCATCTCTTAGTAATATGTGTCCTCCACAAGGAACGGCTCTAAATCCACACACTGATAGCGATAAGTTTTATCAATGCATTGATGGCATTGCCACCATACAGAGTTGTGCCGACGGTGATTTCTTCGATGCCGAAGCTCAAACTTGTCGTGAAACTTCAAATATTTTAAAGCCAAGCATTAAGTGCCCTAAAGTAGGAACTTTTGTTTATCCTCTACCACAAAAGAACATGTTCTATGTATGCTCTGATGGTAAGGCACGAACTGTATATTGTGCCGAGGGAGATATATTTGATGCTGAACTAAATGTCTGCCGCGAAGTAATTAAAGAAACGCCCATTGTTGAGCATCTTTCCAAAAATCAAGAAATTCCCGAGTTAAATGGAAACCCTAAGAAGCAAGAAGAAGTCGAAGAATTTCCAAAACTTTTATTAGACGAAAATCGAAATGATGATAATAAAAACGAAGAGTCTAATGTTCTAACATCAGAAGCGGTTGAAATTGTAGCAGAAATTGAAGGCAATAATATTTTGGACAATTTCGAAAGGAGTGAGGAACTAAAACCTATTGCAAATGAATCCCAAGAATTTTTCCAACATTTACTTAAAGACAACAAAAATGAGGAGTCTAACGCTATCAAAGCATATGATGGTGAAATGAGTGAGGAAATGTTGACCAATGTGGCCAAAGAATTAGACATTACTCTCGAAGAAAAAAGTGAAACAAAAAATATTGAAAAAATTAGCCTAATAAAAAATTCAAAAAACTGTTTCTTCAAAATATTCAACAACAAAGTTTTATTTCAAAAAATTATTTTTAATAAGTTTAAAAGATAGATAGATAGATAGATAGATAGATAGATAGATAGATAGATAGATAGATAGATAGATAGATAGATAGATAGATAGATAGATAGATAGATAGATAGATAGATAGATAGATAGATAGATAGATAGATAGATAGATAGATAGATAGATAGATAGATAGATAGATAGATAGATAGATAGATAGATAGATAGATAGATAGATAGATAGATAGATACGTACATACATACATACATACATACATACATACATACATACATACATACATACATACATACATACATACATACATACATACATACATACATACATACATACATACATACATAGCTAGATACATAGATAAATACATACATAGATAGATAGATAGATAGATAGATAGATAGATAGATAGATAGATAGATAGATAGATAGATAGATAGATAGATAGATAGATAGATAGATAGATAGATAGATAGATAGATAGATAGATAGATAGATAGATAGATAGATAGATAGATAGATACATAGATAGGTAGATAGATAGATAGATAGATAGATAGATAGATAGATAGATAGATAGATAGATAGATAGATCGATAGATAGATAGATAGATAGATAGATAGATAGATAGATAGATAGATAGATAGATAGATAGATAGATAGATAGATAGATAGATAGATAGATAGATAGATAGATAGATAGATAGATAGATAGATAGATAGATAGATAGATAGATAGATAGATAGATAGATAGATAGATAGATAGATAGATAGATAGATAGATAGATAGATAGATAGATAGATAGATAGATAGATAGATAGATAGTTAGATAGTTAGATAGGTAGATAGTTAGATAGATAGTTAGATAGATAGATAGATAGATAGATAGATAGATAGATAGATAGATAGATAGATAGATAGATAGATAGATAGATAGATAGATAGATAGATAGATAGATAGAAAAATAGATTGATAGATAGAAATAAGCATAAAAAAGAAACACATTATAAATTCTTTCGAGTAAAAAGTGTTTCATCTTATAAAGATTATTGTAACTTTTTGAAGAAAAAAAGCTTTATTTTTTATAACCCACATACCCCTTTAAACAAAAAACTATTTTGAACATTTTGAATAAAAACAAATTTAAAAAAATTTTTGATGAAAAGCTTAATCTGCAAAAAGTTTGTAGCATAGAAACTTTTGTCATAAAAGCTTTGCTAACTTTTTTATAAAGCTCATATTGAGTTGAATTTGGTCCTGTGATTCCCCTTAATGTTAAAAACTCTCTTTCTCTTGTGCAAAATTGATTTGTTATCATATGCTTTCATAGGAAAAATATTGCTTTTTTATTTAAAAATATGTTTCAAATTAGAAAGATAAAATTTTAATTATTTTGATGGCCAAATTATATTTCGGCACATGTTGTAAACACAACCAACAAACTATATAAGACAAAAATATTTCTGAAAACTTTTGAGTCGTTTAAAACTAAAAAGAGTGAAAAGTAAGTAAACTTTTAATAAACAATTTTGAAAAAATAAGTTTAGAGTTTTTTTTTTACAGTGCAACTTTTTATATTAGTGGTAGCCTTTTTTATAGGCTCCTCCACAGCTTACACTAATGACATCAACATATGTCAAGGAGCTGCTGACAATTTATTCCTACCAGTACTCAACAATTGCTCAGCTTATTATGTGTGCATGGATGAAATCCCACTAGTTAGGGTTTGCCGAGAAGGTTTCCTGTTCGATGCCAAAACTCAATCTTGTACATTACCTGGAGAAGCTCAGTGTATAAAGAATTGTACATCGGCCTTGTCTTCATTCTGTTATGATCGTACTTGCACCAAATATGTCCTCTGTTATGCCAACACTCCGGTGGTGCGTGAATGCTGTGATGGTCTCCAGTACAATGCTGAAACAGATCGTTGTGATTTTCCTCAATATGTTGATTGTGTAGATGATATGTGCACCATATTCAATAATCCCAAAAATATAACTTTCCTGGCTAGTAAGGCTGCCTGTGATAAGTATTATGTCTGCATGGATGGTTTGACTTATGCCAGGAATTGTTCTAAAGGCTTGCAGTTCAATCCAGAATGTAATTGTTGTGATTTTAAGTCCAGAGTTAATTGTTCTGTAAGTACAAATAAGTTGTGGTTTACACGCTTTAACTTTTTTCTTACCCCTCGCTCCTACAAACTCAAAAAGTTTCGCATCAAAAATTAAAGCATGTGAACCGGTAATTAATAGTGTTTCTTCGGTAATTACAGATTCCCGCTTTACAACGTAATATTATTCCCCTTTCAAAAGCTCCTCCCCGTGCCGCTGATATTAAATGTCCTCAAGAAGGTATCCATTTTTATCCTCATGCTCAAGAAGATAAATACTATTTCTGCATGAAAGGTCGTGGTGTTATTATGGATTGTACTCCTGGTTTGGTTTTTGATCCCAATGTTCAAGAATGCCGTGAAAAGAAAAATATTTTGAATGTGTAATTAAGAAATTTTGATTGATAAATAAAAACCGTTTTTCTCTTTAACTTTTTTTGAACACACAGTGATGCCATCTATTAATGTTGTTTAGTGTTAAGGTGTTTTAACGCTAAAATAATTTTCACAAATTTTTTTGTTTTTTTAAATTTTTAATAATATTTTTAAGAAAATTTTCAAAATATTAAAGTGCTAACTTTTCGA